TTAAGGTTAAGGTAAGGTAGTACGTTACTACTAGTAATAACTAACTACGTACGTACGTACCGTACCGTACCGTACGTAGTAGTAGTTGTAGTCTCTTCTCTCTCTCTCTCTCTCTCTCTCTCTCTCTCTCTCTCTCTCTCTCTCTCTCTCTGTGCGCTGTGTGGGGGTGGGAGGTTTGAAACTTTGAGTTCTCTCAGTAACCCATATAGTCGTTAAATAAAAGTCTTGCTTTGATATTACTGGTTATACTATTTGATTTTGGAAATGATTATGGCTTAGATCCTAGAAGCTGACCTGTTGCAAGTAATTAAATTTATGGGGCTGGACCATGCAATCGACATAACTGATGACATTGGGACAGCTAATGCAATTCTTGCATTGAAGTCTGAGTTAAAGCAGAATCCATGGATTAGAGGTGTTGCTAAATTTCATCAGTTACCAATATTTGTTATTAAGGTACTTGGATGATACCAAATCACTGCTTTCATTTGGACTTCAGGTGTTACTTTAAGAAAAATATTGGTGTTTTTGGGCATTAATCATAAGAAGTAATTTAATTGTCGTACCATAGGCAAATACTATGGCACAGATGGTGAAGGCAATTCGCATGATTCTCGGGATGGACACATTTGGAACTGTTTCTCGATGGTCATTCAAGCAACCAAAGAGGGACATAGAAATTGCAGATGACGCACCTCAAAGAAAACCTTCACTGGAAGAGATTGATGCCTTGGAGGTGCACGCCCACCCTCATATGTTCTCTTTTTTACTATGTTCTTTCATTTTTCAGTTGTTTATTTGTGCTCTATGATATTTGGATACTTCAACATTGGCTCCTGGGTATTCTAAAAACATGTATAAAATCACAAAAAGGCTCATATCATCGGCGGCCACAGAAATTCCAATAATCATAGTTTATGATTGATATTAGGGGCTGAGTGACTGATCTCCTTAAGATCTTTTCATTTGAGCCAGTTAACGCCCCATGTTCTGGTTATCATCATAACAAGAACCGGACAAATAATAATTCCCTCCCCTGTTCTCATTGTTCAAAACACAAATCGACTTCCCCTTTTATCTCCATTTATTAATTGTCATCAACTACACCGATATTTCGCTGTCCATATACCCAACTTGTAATATCCTTAGTTATCCACTTGTTATCTTCTTCTGTGTCAACTGAAAGAGAAACAGTAAACCCCCAGCAGTTCTAGTTGCTATCCTTTTGTAACTTCTTTTGTATTTATTATTTATTTTGACTGAAATTTCTGAGTACTTGAAAATCTCACTGTAAGATCATGGAATGACAAAATGTGCATCTTTTTGCTGGAATTTTGGATGTAGCAATTTGTATTCATATTTCAAGTTATATTTTTGTTGTTGAAGAATCGACTTATTTGTTTTTAATATGACAACCCGTCCCTCAACTTTACCCTTTTGATCCATTATTTATTTCCCACACTGTTCCTTTACAGTAGTCTTTCTTTTCGTCCTTCATTTCTTGTCGGTTTGTTATTATTCCTTGATTGCAAAGTTTTGCTGATGAAATCTTAGTTTTTCTTCTCATTAGGAGGTCAGACTGGCTATTGAGTACATTGTCATTCCTGGAGGAGAGCCAGTAGAGCTCCTTCCTAGATGCTCTAAAATAATTGCCCGCCAATTGGCGCTTGTGGAAAGCTATCAGCTTGCTGCTGAGAGGTCAGGCACGGAGCTCAACTCAAGGCTTCAGATTCTTCCCATGAAGATTGATAGGAAGAACAATGCCCCTCATAAAAACCCTGGTCTTGGTTTGAAACAAGGTGCGGAAGAGTCAATGTTAGATTGGAATTCAATAAGCAGTGGAGGTGGCGGAACAAGTGTTGCCAGGCTTCCTCTCTTGCCTGAATGGTAAGGCTGAACAATGTTGGTTGTCACTCTTGAATGATGCACCCCGTGTAATGTACACTATGTAAATTATGATGCCATGTTGTAATATCATTTATTACTCTTCTCTCTCTCTTGTGCCTGTGTTCCCGCCCATTTCGCGCTACCTAATTTCTTCTTTAGTGCAAGAATATGCAACTTCCCTTTCCAAAATTTCCTCTTTGTGGAGATTTCTGAAACGAAAAGATAACATTTGGTTCTTGTCCCGAGAGTTCTGCACAATATACAGGAATTGAGGTTTTTTTTTTTTTAATGAAAACAATAACACTTATCCGATTCGTAGACCGATTTCAGCATGCCCATTTTCATGGTAGTCATATTATTTAGCGACCCCAAATACTCGGAATAAATTTTGTAATGCTAAAGAGAAAAATATCAGCTATTTCCTCTTAAAAGCCATAATATTCGTAGAAATAGGTTGTTATGTACTTTAATACTGCCTGCCCTGAAACACAAATGAAAGAGTGCTCGAAAATCTGTTATTAAGAGCCATCACAGGTAAGACGCTTTCAACAAAAATCAGACCATAAATGGAAGTGGGGTTTAACAGTTTATAAGTAAGGCCTGCTTATGGTAATCCACATGAGCATGGGTTAAAGTTGGTCATGAGAGTTATCACCGTCCAGTCAGCTGGATGGAGGATAAAGGATCCCATGTCCGACAAAAAAAGAAAAAACAAAAGAAGCTTCCCACTAAAAGAGGAAAAAAAAGAAAAGAATAAGGTCCGTTTGGATACTTGGAAATATATTACGGGCGTAATACGTTACATGCAAATGAATTGTAATTATTTGGACAGTATTTAGATGCAACATGGGAAATACATTGCTACTGTTTGCCATTTCTCTAGAAGAAATATGAGAAATGCATTACCATCTGAATATTAAAATATGAATATTTTTGGCTAACATGATTAGACTTTGGTTTCAACCTGATAGGTCATTGGAATAATATGATTAAAATAACATGATTTTATTATGATAAACTTTATTTTTATTTAATTTTTATAGAAATCTTTCAAATGTCTCTTTATATGTAATTTCAAATAATAAATAAATTCATAATACCAAAATCAAAATCTTGATGGTATAAGTTAAAAAATGAAAAGAAATTTGATTAGTAAACTATAACGTTTGGTAATTGGAGTAGAAAAATTTGAAGCATTGGAGGAGACTAAATATGTATCTTATTTCAATTGAGCTTTTACTAATATCTTATGAGGATTATGTTAGGAGAAATTTTTTATTATGATTGTATTGTGTAATTTGTCATCAATTACTCATTATTATTTTTATTATTTATGTTTTTATACAACAACTGATGGTGGGCTACAACCCAAATTGGGGATAGAGGGATGTAGAAAATTTTTATATTATGATTGCAGTTAGAGGGATGGAGAAAGTTTTTATATTATGATTCTAGTAGAAAATTGTCTCATATCAAGTTCTACAATTGTTTAAATCAATTTAGAGTTCACCTTACTTTCACTTACCAATTATTAAAAAAAAATGTTTTATATGAGAGTCAGATGAGGGCTTTTAAATCAATTTAGAGTTCACCTTACTTTCACTTACCAATTATTAAAAAAAATTGTTTTATATGAGAGTCAGATGAGGGCTACAACTCAAATTGGGATAGAGGGATGTTTAAATTTTATAAGGCAGAGAGATACACGTGAAACATTTCCAAGATTACTAGTATCGTAATAGATCACCCCTCACCGAGCCTAATAGATTTAGTAATTTTTTGAGAAATCTCGGACAAGGGTTATGTCTGTCCATTTCCTTACTATTAAAGTGTACCCAAACAATGTAAATGTCATATTTCCTTGTAATATATTGCCATGTAATAAATTTCCATATATCCATACATTTGCCTCTCCACGAGGCATAAACTATCCATTTAAAGATGGATGTAATTGACATTCCCTTTAAAAGAAAGGTAAAATCAATGGCCCAAATTTTTATTTTTAAAAAAATGTCATTTTTAGTTTTTTAATTCTTCTTTTTCATGCTAGGGATTGTATATTCTATAAAAATCAAGTCAAAAATTGTCTCAAAAATATATTTTTTTGTTGAGAAAGTCTAAAAAATAGATTATTAAGGGGCCTGCATTTCTTCATATGAGTTAGGGGATTCCTTAAATATTAACCATGGTATCAAGCTCAATTTGAAAATTATTGTTAAAAAAGGGAAAAGAATTGTATTATCGATTGGCAGAGCTTCACAGAGCATCACAAAGTGCTAAGACAATAAAAAATGTATATATAATTCCTAACACCTAAAAGATAGCATTCGAATATGAGACCCTACTCACACGAACTATTTCAAATATATTAGTTTAATTTATAAATAAAATGTATACAATAAGATCATTTAACTTTTGTATAAGGAGGTTAGAAATTTTTTTATCCCTTAGATTTGAAATTGGAAGGCTAATAATATTTCATTTATCATTCTCAAGTTAGGAAAAAAAAAATTGAATGTTTTTTTAAACCCTAAGCTGTCCGAGTTGAAAATTGATGGCTAGGATTAGTTATGACCTCCTTGTTCTATAGATAAAACATCTTATAATATCTAATAGTATACAATCCTTGTTTGAAAATGTTATTTAACTTTATGAGTTTATTGTTTTTCAATTCTAAATTTCCTTTGAAAATAATATCTATCTATTTATCTATCTATTTTGAAAATAATATCTATCTATTTATCTATCTATCTCTACATACAGGGGAAAATAAGTAGGACGTGATTTATAAATGGAAAATAGTTTCATGCTGGCTGGATTGCATTTCTACCCTATGCAGTCCAAAGGTATAAACCATCCATCTTAAAGACGGATGCAAATAGGTTGTCTATCTAAAAACAATTGTAATTAATAATCCTAATGGTTTTTTAATATAATTATTATTTCTATTTTTTATTTTTTATTTTTATAGTCATGATTTCCATGTTAAAGATTATATATTCTTAAAAAATTAGGATAAAATTATATTTAAAAAATATATTTATTGCCAAGCCTATATTTCTATAATATGCGGGCTGGCGGCATAGAAACTTAATCCTTTTTAAATATCCAACATCTCTTATATCTCAAAACAGTCATCTGTAAAATCCCTTAAGAATTGTATGATTTGTTACGCAAACTTTATTTGTCAAAAAAAAAATGAAAAAGAAAAAATGTTATACAAACCCAATAATGAATTTGCTGAGGGTAAAAGATATTCTACTCCTTCAAGAGTAGAATGTACTCTTACTCCCTCGCATAAAACCTTATCTAGAATTAATTTTAAGAACTTAATTTTTGGAGATGTAACCTCTTTAAGTCATAGATTAATCTCAATAGAAAATATTTCTAAATGTCCCCTCTCTGCACTTGAAAAAAAACAATGTCTCGAGATTGAATAGAGAACATCCAATTTTAATTACATGGTAAGATTTAAGTGTTAAAAAACTAAAATTTCAATTTTCCTGAGAATAATCATCTATTAATTCTTAAATGGTTTCAAATTGAAAAAATCCTCCCAAGTAGGTATTTTGGCTGAGGGAGTAGAAATAAACTATGCTCCCCAAAGAGTATAATATAAGTGCCCTTTGCTCAAAGAACCGTTATTCTCACAAAAAATAGTCATTGTATACTATTTTTTTATTTATGAAATGAAAACTTAAAGAAAAAGTTTTTGAAAATATAATAAAAGAGTTATAAGAAAACAATATTTAATGAATTAGAAATAAAATAAAATATAAAAATAAGGAAACTTTCCTAAATTTAAAATTCAATATTATTAGTATTTATCTATAGCACTCAGCACGAGCCAGTGGTACTCGGACATTAATAAGATGTAGGAAAAAGTTTATAAGAGGTTGCAACCTTAAAATGTAGAATTGAAGATGCACCTCAAACATCCATTGGAAAATGTTGTTTTAATGTTGAAAAACCATCTAATTGATTATCTTGATATCGAGTTGTATGAACATGAAAAAAATTTGTTTTTTTGAGTCCCATATGTAGTTCATCTTGCAACATATTATCTAGACTGTCAATTTTAAATATTTTAATGTGTTTATAAATCTTTTTGATTTAAACTATTTTTTGAGTTTAAAATTTTATAATTAGATATGAAAATAGATTTTATGATATTCATAGGAATTTTTTACACCAAAATTACATGTTTTGATAAAATTTGGAGGCATGCCTTAATTTGATTATTTAAGGTTTCAACATTATAAAAACCGCACCTTAAGATTTATTATGACATATGGTGCGGTTTGTATAGAGCCGAGACTCTAAACAAAGTCAAGCGCACTTCAAATAGTATCGAGAAATATAGTTTCAATACTGGAAATCATTGTGATAGCCTTAAGTAATATTTTCATTTCTAATTATAAAATTTAAAGCTTAAAAGACAGTATAGATCGAGCAAATGTATGAAAACTTGAAAATTAACGGTCAAAAAATACATTACAAGATGCACTATTTACAAAACTTGAAATCCAATTTTTTCTCATGTCCATGTATCTCGATCCAATTTGATGATATTTAGACATGAAAACAACCGGTTCTATTAAATTTTTTTGAGATACGCTTTAATTTGATTGTTTAAAGCCCCGCACTTATATAAATTTTTTCTGCAAGGATCGGTTCACACCTTGCGTAAACAGGTGTAAAACCAATTTATTTTCAAATAATTTTATAAATATAAACACTTCTGCAACCGTCCCGTCGTTTCATCCGACGGTCAAAGAGAGGCTAGCAGTTCCTTAAAACCTAGTGTTCTAGCGTACTGACTCGAGTTAAAAATAGGTTTCTGGAACGGTGGGTAAAACCCGGACAAATTAACTAGGGTTGAGCGAAAGGACCGAACAAACGGGGGAAAAAGTTAAAAGAACCCTATTCGTGTTTCTGCATTGCTTTTTTTCTCTCGCTTCTTCTGCTCTCGAGTTGGTAACGGTCAGCGCTTTTCGCCTCTGGTTCTTAACTTTTATCACTGCGGCTTTCTTCAGAAAATTTATGGAATGCTTTATGATAGCTTTTGATTTGTTTTATCATAGTTATTGTTTTCCTTTGTTAGGGATCTTGGAAGGCTTGCTTTTATTTTGTTGGTTCGTTCAGGTCGACTAGGGTTTCTGAAACACGTTCATGCTTTGGTTTTTTTTTTCTCTAATTTCGATGAATTGCAGTTTTTTGTTTAGGATTGGGTGAATTGTTTTTGAGGATTCTTGTTATTTATGGCTGTGTTTATGGGGAAATTGGTGAAGTGCATTAGGGATTTTGTAGATGCTTAAATTAGGGTTTGTGACATTCATGAAAGTTGTTTGGTTTACTATGAGTTCAGTGCGTTATGGCACTGTATATGGATTTCAAGGTTTTGATAAAGTTAAGGGATTGCATACTATGAGACCATTTACCTTTGATACAAGGAGCTAACAATTACTTACAACCATCTGATGTGAAATCTGATAGCTTGAGTGTGTCACAAAGTTCGAGAAAATTTATTTTGAAGTTTGAGCTTGGTCTAATTAGAGCTTCTGAGAACCGCCAGGGAACTCTCTTCAATTGACCTACTCTTGTTTCGGCATCATGCATGTATTTTAGTTCGTTTTTAAGAAATTTAAAGTTTCATTTCATTTATTAAGGCACTAGGAATCTCTTAGGTTTTTCAGCTATATCAAGATTCTTTGGATTTTTTCTTCGATGTAGATGTATATATCTATATGATGTTAGCTGGATTTGTTGCAATTATGGCTAGTGCACTTAGGGTTCGTTCGAGTAAAAATTGTGAAATCTAGATTTCCATTTTGGTGGTTAAAGCTTTCATTTTCTTGATATGGGCTGGATTTTTTACTATTATCTATGTTAACTGGGGATAATGTATGATTGTTCTTTGGATATGGTCAAGCGTGATAGGTTCATTGAGTATTGGAAAGGGAGATTCCCTGTTGCTTTCATGTTCTTCTGCTGAATTATTTAATGGATAAGGTTTGTAAGAAGTCATTATTGCTCTTTTTCTTTTTTGGTGGCCAGAGATTGCTGCCTATTGATTGGGGTTTGTGAAAAGCATATCTGGGGTAAATTCTCAGGGTTCTCCCTTTTGGTATTGCTTGAAATTCTCGCGAATTTGAATGTAGTCGTTTAGAGTTTTAAAGTAGAGATCTTATGAAATTCTTTGTTCATTTGTTTTTTTTTAAACTAATTCCTTGTTCATTTCTAAAGCAAGGTTTACGCAGGAACATGTGCTCATTTGTATTTTTTTTTTTAATTATTTATATCTGTTCTTGTTAATTGAAATTACCATGGATTTCAGTTTTTTATTTGCTTTTTATTTTCAATTCAATCTTTGGGATCTGAAGTTAGAATTCTGACATGCATGAAATTGAGGGATCCTACGTATTAGTTTTCTCTTGGTTTATTTTTGTAGTAGGTAATGTTTTCGCTGGGAAGTTTATTTGTAGGCTTGCTGGTTACCTGACGTGGATTGGGATGACTTTTGCAGGTTAGATGGCTGGAAAGGAAGACATGCGTGTTTTTGTGGGAGGATTGTCATGGGATAGCACTGACAGGCAGCTTGAAGATGCTTTCAGCGAATTTGGAAAGGTTCTTGATGCTCAGGTATGCTCTCTTGTAGTTAAAAATCGCATATTTCAAGCCTATTTCGAGCTCTAATTTGTACCTTTTTTCGGTATTTGGTCTTATAATAAATAGTTTGTTCATGGGCTTTTTTTATGTACTTAAAATGGTTGGCATATATGATTGCATCTTCTATTTTGTGTTCCATTTTAATTAACTTTTCTTCTCTTCTTTGTTTCTGGGTTTGTGCAATGCTATGGTCTAGTGGCTCGCCTTGATTTGTTCAAATTCCAGTTCCATCGCAAAAGCTCGATGTCCCTTGTTTGAGAAGTTAATTTCGAGCTCTTGCTTTGTTCGGATGTTTGCATGGGCTGATGAGAACATTAAAGAACTACAAAGCAATCTGAGAGTTCTTAGATTCTTGTTTAGCTTGTTAATTAGTGAATACAAAAATGGATGTTGCAAGTTTCAGGCAGCAGTTTGTAATAGACGTGACTGAGCAATGTGCCACAGATCCACTGACGGTCCAAGTGACATTTGTGCAGGCTGAAATTGAAGATTTCTCCAAGCTCATAGCTCTGAATGTGATTGAATTATATAGACATGGGTCATTCATGTTTGCAAAGAGAGTGACGTTTATAAACAGATAATTTTGCAACTATGAGGTTGGCTTCCATGTATAGAGACAGAAGGTGATGTTATGGCATTTGGTGATTTTGATGCAGGTATCCTCATGGCATCTGCTACATCATGGTACACCACCAAGTTTTAACCAATAGTTTTTGAGTTGGCTTGAAACATATCCGCTTTTAGGAAAGATGAGCTTTACCAGTAAAGGGGAGGATGAGTTTTAGATTTTGTTGATTTGCCAGTTCTAAAAGCAGATTTTTTTATCACATGCAATTGAACTGTACTTTGGATGATTATGACCATGGCTTGGAGCAATATTTTGCCAGAGACTGATTGGCAGCATAATAATACTGGCACATCTCATTTAGCTATTGTAGATACTCATTTCTTGGGTAGTTTTTAGATGGATTTATGAGATATTCATTGCTTGTGAAGTCTGAGCCTTACAATGTTCTACATTTATTTGCCTTAGTATGAGCTTTGTACTCTGAATGGATATTTGCAACCTGCCAGTTGAGAATGTTCTATGGCTTTAGGGAGTGAAACATACGCTAGATTATGTGGATTTGCAGCGAAGAGTATGCATGGGCTCATTCCATGATTGTGTGCAGAATTAATATGCTGTTATTGTGTCAAATGCCAGCCAAAATTTAGTTGGTGGTTCAAATCTCATTCTTCGAGAGAGTCAGATCTGGGATTGAGAGTGATGATATAATTCGGTACCATCATGGCAAACATGAAGTTTGATATTCTGTCATTCAGCTTATGGTTTTACCTGTTTCTGCAGCACCGTAAATGTCTGCACTGAATGCAATGTAAACCCAGGTCTTCTAGAGGATATTCACATGCTGCTGGTTTACCTTAGGTGCTGGGATTTTGATTCCATGTATCAGACTACACAAGTTTATGATTTGTGAATATATTTTTGTTCTGTTTGTGGTTTCATCTGCTCAGCAACAGCAAGTGATGGCTCCAGGCCGGATTGGTACATCATCGTTTCACAGCTCTGACGAAGCCAAAGCAGAGAGCAGATGCATAGGCATTTCTGTTGTGTACGGTTTATTGGTGTATCTTTTACTGCAACTGTGGTGATCATTGTCCTTTGGTCAGTTTCATGTGTAAAGCCCTTGCATGTACTACGCATTCACAATCATTTGACCCTACATGCTTTATTTATCAATTGCTGGAGCATTTCTGGAGCCAGTGCGTGCAATGGGTGACATACTGTTCGAATGCCCTATTCCCCAATAGTTCAAACATTGACTTCTTTTGTATGACACTTTTCCCAAGAACACCTGGATCCATTTTAGACTTCTTGACTTCCATAGGGAAAGTTGTGTTTGTAATTGATGACTAGACAGCTTTTTTTGTTTTGTGGAAAGGTAATGAGTGAAAGTCCCGACTGTTTTCTTTCTCTGATTCTGCATTTGGTTTTGGCATGCTGATGTTGAGGCGAGCAGAAGACACTAATTCTATATTTAGATGCAATGATAGAAATGTGAATTAGGTCTCCCTCTAGACTGTCGCAATCTTGTGGTATCAGGTTTGTGCTCTGTGAAGATGGTCATGGTTTTTACTCAGTGCCTTAAGATATGTATGTGCAGTTCATTTTATTTTGTTGGAATCTGGACCATCATTTTGTGCCAAAATTGTTAAGAGATGGTAAGCAGTGCATCTCACGGTTGTGAACAATTTGCATAACTAGTGCATCTCACAGTTATGAACAATTTGCATAACTCATCAACCTTTGATTTTGAAGATATGGTTTGATATCCTAGGTTTTGATTTCCCGTGGCAGTTAAGAATAAGACAGTTATGTTATTGGAGAACCTGAAGGGCTATATTTATTTGAGGACATGGTGGTTGCTTTAGTTCTGTTCTTTATTCTTTATTGTTATGCAAGTGTTTTCCATCCGCGAGGTATGGACTTGCAATTAAATGATGAATCAGCATAGAAACTGATGGTTTGATCAAGTTCGGTTTCCCCAGCATTGGGTAAGAACCCTTGACACTAATGAATACCCTACTTGTAATGCTTTAGACTATTGCCTAGATTATTGTTATTGTACAACTTTATTACTAGACCTCTAGGTTCACTTATTATCAGCAAGTGTTACTTTCTATGATACATGTGTTCTTATCTTTTCTTTTTGAAGTGGGTTTCCACTTCTTCTGATAGTGTTATTGAATGCAATGTTTATACTAAATGGAATGTGCACATAACCCTTTATATTCTGTAAGTTCTGTATTATGATGAAAGGGTAAGGCATCGTTTGGGTGTGTTTTAATACTAGTTTGTTGTTAGTGATTGGTAAGAACTAAATTGTTTGTTTGTCACATCTTTTATCTTGTTTTATTGACAAGATGCATTTGTCTGGAAATAGATCATATTCTGGTTCTCTATTAAATGCTTAGATATCTATGTGCAATTTCATATGATACTCACTTTATTATGTGTAACTTGTGGAAAGACATTATATGCTTTGAAGTGAAACTGCCACCAATCATAGTTTGATGGTGACATGATCTTGTTTCTTGTTGGGCATGGAAATTTGTTACTGTAATTTTTGATATCCATTTGTTTGAGATTTAGGATAACCCTTTCCCCAATTTGTTTTTATTTTGCAACCTGACCAGTTTGGGATCGCTAATTGAGAATTGCAAATGTCTTAAAAGAGCTAATTGAGGGAATCTTGAGGCTTAAGACACATGCTGCTCATAAATGAACGAGAAACATCAGAAGGAATTATTCAATGAGATTCTAAAGGCATTTTAGTTTGTAACTGGAATAGAACAAGACAAATGAGAAAGTTAATTATATGATGTAATTGCGTAAATAAAAGATTCTTAAGACACATGGTGCTCATAAATGAACGAGAAACATCGGAAGGAATTATTCAATGAGATTCTGAAGGCATTTTAGTTTGTAACTGAAATAGTACAAGACAAATGAGAAAGCTAAATTATATGATGTAATTGCTTAAATAAAAGATTGGTCATAATGGAGGGGAGTGCTGTCTTCACATAAAGGGTTGAATAATTTACCTAATCAGTGATGTAATGAACAACTATGGGCATACTCTGATATTTTGTTGTTATAAGTTATTTATATGATGATAAGGACTTTCTGCTTTATTTTAGTATCATGGTTTTTATTCTAATATTAAGCACATTATTGTCATTTACTGAAGATGAACTTAATTTCATGCACTTCTAATGGAAAGGAAGTTCAGAGAATTATAGCAATAGGTGTAGGTGATCTTGGAAGAGAACTATGGTCCTGAAGCATTTATGAAATATTTATGGGAAATAAACATTAGTGGTAAAGGGTTCCAACTTATGGTAAATTAAATTATGGATTTTTTTTTTGGATAAAAGTTTAAAGTATCCTGAATTATGTATATTGATAAGCGTAAGTTATTTGAGATGGCCAAATGGCAAAGATACTATTGAATCTTAATGTAATACAAAAGGGATTGTATACTCTGATACTATTTATTTTTGGTACACCATTGGATGTGATATTCAATAGATAAAAGTTTCACAGCGTGCAAGAAAAATTTTATTTCGGACTTTGTGCCCAAACAATGACACATCATGAACCACCCGATTTGAAATTTAATGGTCAATGACGATTGTGAAAAATTTTATTTTGGACTTTGTGCCCAAACAATGACACATCATGAACCACCCGATTTGAAATTTAATGGTCAATGACGATTGTGACCTTCGTATGTCAAAAGTAAATCGTCTCATTGTATACATTTCCAATATAGAAATCCCCTGCTTCTGGTGGAGTATTGATATGAGGACTAGGAACTTTTTTTTGGAAATGTCCGATTTACAGTTTCTTTTTATTTTAAAAAAATATTTTTTGCCTTGTCTTGTACTTGTTTATCTCTAAACATTTTCCAGGGGTGATTTATCAAAAATGTATTTCCCAGGTTCTTTGGACCTTCCTCACCCCTTTCCTTTTTCAAACCATCTCCTTCCCTTGAAATACATATATATTCCCTAGATTTAATTTGTATTTTTTATTTTTATTATGAATGATTTATCACATTTAATCCAAATGCAAGCTTAGATTGTTTGGAACTTCAGATGTTTACGAGTAGCTTTTTCATAAGATTTCCACCTTCATATTTTTTTTAATTTCCTTTTTCCACCTTCAGATTGTCATTCAGATTTAGCAACAAGAATATGAATTCTTATAAAAAGTAAAACAAAGAACATGTCCCAAAAAAAATCCTCCTTTTTTTTTCCGCAGTCAACTGCTTCATTACTTATAAAAGCAAAAATTTTGGTTCTAATTTTATTTTAGTAGATTTCTCTCTGTTCTTGCTTACAGCCGATACCTTATCATCTTTCTCCTTAATCCATCTAAATTGCTATTTGTTACTTGCACATTCATTAATTGCCTTTGCAGATCATGCTAGACAGGGACACTGGCCGACCTCGTGGCTTCGGGTTTGTTACCTTTGCGGAGCAAAGAGCAATGGAAAATGCTATTGATCAACTTCATGGAAGAGAACTTAATGGCCGTGTTATCTCAGTGAACAGGGCCCAACCCAAGATGGGCGATCGTGATGACTATGGGTACGGTGGTGGCTACCCTCCAAGTGGAAGGGGAGGCAGTGGCTATGGTGGTGGTGGTCCACCACCAGATCGAGGAGTGGGTCGTTCTGATTGCTTTAAGTGTGGCCGACCTGGGCATTGGGCCCGAGAGTGCCCCGTAGGTGGTGGTGGGGGGGCCCGATTCTCTTCAAGACCTAGGTTTTCCGGGGGACGAGGGGACCGCTTTGGTGGTGGAGATCGATATGGAGACGATCGATATGATGGGGGGTCCAGATTTGCTGATAGGGATCGGGACCGGATGGACGGCCGGGATGGGGGGAGATATGCGGGGAGGGATCGATATGGGGGTGGTGGGGATCGGTTTGCAGACCGATACAATGGGGGCTCAGATCGTTATGCCCCCAATAGTTATGGTGGGAAAGAGAGAGGAGGCTATGAAAGAGAGAGTGGTAGAGGTGGCGATCGATATGGGGGTGGTGGGCCAGCTAGGTATGAAGGGAGCTATAGAGAGAGGCCTGGTCCTTATGATCGACCACCTAGAGGTCGGCCTTCATCGTATGATGACCGTTACTAGTGAGGCAGGTTGGGAACAGCGGTGGGGTTTGGCAGGAAGTCTAAATGTTCAGGGTTTGCGAACAAAACAAAAGGTAGTCAGAACTTGCTTGATCTTAGTTTAGTGTAGCTCTTGTGTCTATCTTGCTTTGTCAGGGGTGTTGAAACTAAAACTTTGACTCGGATTTTTATGGCTTGTGTCGCTGTATACAATGGCCCATCTGGCTGGTGACGAGTGATGTGTTAGTGTTTGTGTGAATGATGGGCGTTACCGGTGTAGAGAGAGATTAAATCGCATTCTCGCCTCTGTCAGGGAGAGAGATTCTCAGGCACATCGAATTTCACATTTATCCCTCTCCCATGATAGAGTGAATTGTAGAAGGATATATTGTCGCTTCTTTTACGAGTGGACTCTTGTGCATCCATCCCCTCAGGGACGGACACACCAGAGTTGCACTAATCAACATTTTAAACGAGTGTATGTTATACTCTTATTAGAGCATATACTTTATATCTACTCCCTTAGTATAAAAAAAGCTGGCACGAGTGTATATGTTATACTCCTATTAGAGCATATACTTTATATCTACAAAACCAACCAAGGTTAGTCTATGGCTTGATGAGTTACATATCTAAAATTACTCCTATATTGGGTTTTACATTATGGAGGAATAAATGGATGGTACACTCCAGCGAGAGCATAAAATCTTTTGGCTCTTGCACCTATTCTAGTCTTTCCAGGGTATTTTGAAAAATCAATATTAGCAAGGGTGTGGTTTCTATAAGATTGCAACCTTAAATAATCCAATTCATTAAGGCACTCTTTCAATTTTTATCATGTAATTTCGGTGAAATGTTTTTTAGTATTATCTTGAAATTTATTTTTATTTCTAATTATAAATATTTAAAATTCAAAAATGGTGAAAAACAAATCGATCTATAAACATATGAAAATCTTGAAAATAGACCGTTTAGATAATGTATTGTAAGATCTACTATTTCGAAATTTTAAATTATATTGTTTTTTCATATTCATGCATCTCAGTGTATCAATTAGAGGTTTTTTCAACATTAAAACAATTTTTTATTTTACATTTTACACTTTAAGGTTGCAAACTTTATATAAGTTTTTTCCTATTAGTAAAATGTAGATTAGTTATTCTCTATTAAGTATTTTGAGAAAATCCCTTTTGAAAAGTAATCATCAGGCACAATGATTCTCAAAGTAGATCCCAAAATTGTAATCCAAACATTCTCTCTTTGGCCCCAGATAGCAAGTGACATTATAAGTTCAGCAGGAGCATAGTTTATGGGCGACGCTTATATTTTCTGTTCTCTTCACGCTTTGGCCTTTTGAAACCGTCCATCAGTGCATAAAAAAACAGCGTCCAAAAGCATGCCTGCGATCACATGCTTTGGAATTCAAAGCATCCCCTCCCACACAAACCTCATTTTCCGAGCCATAGTCCTTAACATTGTCAAAATAACCAAGCATAGCTAATGTCACAGTTAGTCTAACATGGAATGATTTTTCCTGCATGAATGGGTTTTTACAGAAATGAAAGATGGCTTAATTTTGATCAATTTATATATAAGTTCCACGCCAAAGGGCCTATAAACCTAAATCAGCATCCCGTTAGTTCAATAAACATACTGTTTTCTTTTCCAAATTTCATGGACCTTGATCTGCCCAAGGTAAAAGAGCAAAGTCATGTATGAAGTTACCCAAATCAAAATTCTCTGATACTCCAATAGATTCGAGGTCGTCGTGTAAAAATTAATGAAATTTGACGCTAAAAAATATGACACGAGAGAGCATTGTGTTCCTCGGTTATCATTAGGAGGATAAGCAAGAGGGGAGGTTATGGAACATGCTGTGACCATGAGTGATTGAAATTCAGCATGCCTGCAAAATAAACACCTCACTGCAAAACCAATGAGCGTCTTATATACACATCTACAAAAGAAGAAAAGGATCACATCGCCCTAGTCCGATAAAGTAAGACAATAACCCAAAAGTCAAAAGTTAATCCCAAAGCATTTACCTTACATTCAACCGATATTTAGTCAAAAGCCATATCCAAACAGACTAACCACTCTAGGTTGGGCCATTGAGTTCAGCTTTTTTTTTTACTACCCCTCCTTCCCAGTACTTCCACCTCCTCCCTTCTCCCAAGAGTTCTTTGCTGTCCCCCAATCACTGGTAGAGCCACCTCCAGCATCAGCTTTATGATCAACTTCTGAATTCCCCCACCCGCCAGCATTGCTCGCACTTCCAGTATTCACATGAGCAGGCGGTTGGCCCCAACTGCCTAACTGGCCACCCTCACTTGCACCTTGTTCTTTGCTCCAACCACCACTTGCATCTTTCGGTTTGTTCCAATCGTTGGTTACCTTGTTCCAACTATCTTCCTCATTTCTCTTTGGTGGTTTTGGTGGTCTATTCCAGCCCCCTCCTTCCTTTTGATCCTCTGCCTCTTTGTTCCAATGACCATCCTGATCTCCACTGATACCTTTCAGTTTGTTCCAATCACCTCGAGCTTCAATTGTTTCTTTTGGTTTGTTCCATTGGCTTGCCTCACCTTCACCATTTGCACCGTCTTCTTTGCTCCAACCACCATTCTGACCCTTTGGTTTGCCCCACTCATTGCTTCCTGCCTTGTTCCATTGATTCGAACGATCTCCCCATCCACCCTTGCTTATCTCACTATCGTTGCCCCCTCGGTAACCTCTGTCATCTCCACTAGAATCTTTCGGTTTGTTCCAAGAGCTGGCCTGGCTATCTCCCTTTAATGGTTTGTTCCAAGAGCTGGCCTGGCTATCTCCAATTAATGGTTTGTTCCAAGAGCTGGCCTGGCTATCTCCCTTTAATGGTTTGTTCCAAGAGCTGGCCTGGCTATCTCCCTTTAATGGTTTGTTCCAAGAGCTGGCCTGGCTATCTCCCTTTAATGGCGTGTTCGCCCCTCCCCATCCACTGTTTCCTCCATCTCCTTGGTCTCCATCTTGGCCCCAACTACATCCCTGATCTTCGGTGCCTTTGTTCCAACCACCTTGGTTTTCTCCCTTTGATTGCTTGTTCGCTCCTCCCCATCCACTGTTTCCTCCTACTCCTTCGTCTCCATCTTTGTCACCTCCTTGGTCTCCATCTTTGCCCCAACTACATCCCTGATCTTTGGTGCCCTTGTTCCAGTCACCTTGGTTTTCTCCCTTGGATTGCTTGTTCCATCCTCCCCATCCACTGTTTCCTCCCTCTCCTTGGTCCCTACCTTGGCCCCAACTACCTCCCTGATCTCCACTAGTATTGCTCCAATAATTACCTTCCCTAGTATCATCTGAACTGTTCCAACGACCTCCCCTTCCCCTTCCCCTTCCTCTGTACCCTCCTCCTCGAGGAGCCCCACCCTCACCATCTTCTCTCTTCCAACTGCTATCGTTTCTCTTCCAATTTCCTCTCTCATTATCATCTCCCCTACTACTATCATTATCATGATAGCCTCGCCCTCTCCCCCCCAAACCACCACGATCACCACCTTCCCCATTGAACCTACCCCCATTAAATCTCCCTCTCCCCCTCCCTCTCCCTCCTCGACCTCCACCATCACCATCGTCTCTCTTCCAAATCTCTCCCTCATCACCACCTCCCATATTATCATTCTTGAAAGAGTTTGGCCCTCTGCCCAAAATTCCCTCGCTGCTATCGTCTCCATTAAACCTTCCTCCATTCCATCGGCCTCTCCCTCTACCTCTTTCACCTCTACCTCCTCTACCGCCAGGGCCAAAATCTCTCCTGTTTCCAAATGACCCTTGTTCTTCACTAGCACCCTCCCCTCCACTCCAACCCTGTGATTTACCCCAAGGTTGAGCTTGAGCATCTTGATATGAGTTATTCCATCCATCTCTTTGATTTTCATTTGACCCAAACTCAGTTTTTCCCCATCCTCCTCCACTATTCCAACCATCACTTTGATTTTCATTTGCCCAGGAATCTGTTTTGCCCCATCCTCCTCCTGAACCATTCCAACCATCTCTCTTATCTTCATCCCCAACTTTGGCTTTGCCCCTCGAACCTGATGCTTCATTCCAACTACTGGCCTGGCCCCATCCCCCAATATTTTCTTTCTCTGATGACTCTGCTTGTTTGCCCCATCCACTATTGTCACCCGACCCTACAATATTTTCTTTGTTCGACGATTCCAGTTGTTTGCATGGTCCATGACTGTTGCCCCAACCTCCAATATTTTCTCTGTCCGACGATTCCGCTTGTTTGCCACGACTACTACTGTTACCCCAACCTCCAATATTTTCTTTCTCTGAAGACTCTGTTTCTTTGCCCCAACCACTACTTTTACCCCAACCTCCAATATTCTCTTTCTCTAATAACTCTGCTTGATTGCACCAACCGCCTTCACTTCGACCACTAGTATCATCTTCACAAGGACCTTTTCCTCGTTTAGCACTAGATACATTTGCCTCATTCCAACCTCTTGTATTTCCAGCAGTGACTTGTGGATTGCTCCAGGAGTCAGATGCTTTCTTCCAGCTGCCAGGCACATCATCTGTTAATTGTGCATCGACTGATGACTCGGACTGTTTGTTCCAGGCTGTGTCTTTTTCTGCATTGGTAGCTTTTGGTCCACCCCAGCTACCTGATGGTTTCCAGGAATTGCTGTGATCTGCATTGGTAGTTTTTGGCCCACCCCAGCCATCTGAAGATTTACTCCATGGATCTGTTTTATCACCAGTAGATGCAATTGCTTTGTTCCAAGCGCTGTCGGCTTTGTTTCCTGCAATTAAGAGGAAAAAATGAGTAAAGCGTAGGCAAAACCAGTTTGGGAAATGTTGAAGCCACATAAAAAGCACAACTTATGGTCAAACTTTATCATATTTAACATCAATTTCTTTTCTTGGGGGCACAGCTGCTAGGCATATCACCTTCTAATTGTGCTTCGACTGATGACTCGGAAGGTTTCTTCCAAGCATTGTCATTCTCTGCATTGGTAGTTTTTTGACCATCCCAGCTACCTGATGGTTTCTTCCAGGCATTGTTATTATCTGCATCAGAAGCTTTTGCTTCACCCCAGCCATCTGACGATTTACTCCATGGGTCTGTTTTATCTCCATTCGACATAATTGCTCTGTTCCAAGGGTTATCAGCTTTGTCTTCTAGGAGTAGCACAACAATGCGCAATGAATAAGCAAATCCAGCTTGGAAAATGTTGAAGCTACATAAGAAGTATAATTTATGGATAATATCAAGCACATTAACATCTGTTTCTTCTCTGGGGTATATACCTGATTCTGTGGTAATACCAGCAGGGGCATCCCACTGAAGCAACAACAAAGAAAAAACAAACATTTATCAGGAAGACAAGCAAATGAAACTATACAATGAGCCAAAATGAATGGGACAGTCAAAAAGTATTGAGTTTGGAAGCTTACCGAAAAACCAGTAGAGGGGGCTGCATCATCCCAACTGCTCCTGATAAAAGAAGACAATTTCTAAAATCAGGTAGCTGGACAATAATACTGAAATTCAAAAGCTGTATCTTCAAAGGAGCTATTTTGAAATTAGTTGCAAGTTTTGTTTTGGACTAGGATGGGCACAGAGGTGCTGCACAAGATATTCATAAACTGAGCCCCTTCCCATACTGGATGGCAAAAGTGAAGGCGAAAGGAAGAAACTAGAGATTGCTTTTCTCTTTTATCAATCTAATGAGTTAAGGACATCAATCCTAAGAATGAGGGGTTCAGTCAAAGAGCTTTGTACAATATAGGCATATTGATTATATAATTTCCAGTACAATGAATGGATTAGATGCTGCTTAAAAATAGAAAATATTTCTTGAACAAGTCTATAGACAACAGGGGCTCGCAAGAAGTTTCAGCCTTCCTGTTAAAATAAACGTTTGTCTATCCATGATCATCTAGAACATCAAGGTTTTGAATTCTTAAGACGAGATATTTTTACAGGGAAATGTACAAATACTTGTTAATGTATTCAAATATCCATGCTTCCTTTTGGGTTCCCAATGCTATTTTAAGGAGTGATTCACATATGGAGTGTACCATATAGTCTGTTGTGGAGAGCATGTGTTCTGGAATAGATCGACATAATTTGGAAAGCAAGGAAAAATATAATATTCGACGGGAAGTATGGATGAAGATTCACTGCTTAACTTGTAAACAAGGACATTATTGCTTTGGCTATCCATGTGCTGATAATGGACACTGAAAACTCACAACTTCTAGTAGTTGTGGATAGACATAATAAGCCAGTTTCTAGTCAACATCAATTCAACAGTTTGACATAGATGCCTCCTGCAATGAGCGCTCTAAATATCAATTTCGACAGCTGCTCAGGAAGGATCCCTAATGCTGGGTATTACTGGAGGTGTTATATGAAATGAAATAGGTAGCAATCTTGGACCTTTGAATCCTAACACTAAATGGATGCAGACCTTTGAATCCTAACACTAAATGGATGCACCCTCCACTTTCTGGTAAGCATATGCATCTACATTAGCAGCAAGTAATTATTCATACTCATGCACAAAAACGGATGAAAGGCCACTGTGAAGGATTGTAGGACTTTTAAAAAGTATTGCCGATATATTAATTGAGCCTTCTGTTGTTTCTTATGATTCTCTATTAAAGGAGGTAAATGAGATGGTTATCGGGTTTGCTAATTCAGGTGTAACTAGGAAGGGCTTGGGACACAAAGACTCCTTGGTACCTTATGCTTGTAGCCTATTGACCTGTAATTTCTTTATGTTTCAAACATATATTGCCAGTTGAGAAAAATACAAGGATCACAGATGATGCCTAACAAGTCTTCATACGAGTATGATCCTAGGATAATGGCTACCATTTTAATGCACCAATTTAGATTGAAATATTTGACCGGGTTGGATCCTCTTAGTTTTCGAACATGACATGCTTCTTGAGTGTGCATTCTGAGGGAAAGATAGATTGCTCTTCTAGATCCAACTAATAATGCAAGTGAAGCACAAAATGTAATGGCAATACATAGTTTCAAAGACAATCAGAAGCTGAAAATGAGATCTAGTTTTTAATAGATTAAAAAAAAAAGTTGTACCTTGTGGAATTTTGTACCATGGAATCCCATGCTGAACCACCCAAACTATTGCCCTTATCAAGGGGATTCATATCACCATTTTGAGGCAACCCCCTAGCATAAAAAAGATGGAGAACAATATTAAGCGGAAAAAAAGGGCCGATTACACGTTTCTTTCATTGTTTTACGACACATTTAAAGCCAAAGGGAACACAAAGTATACCACACTGAAGTTGCAGTCCCTAGTCCCTTGCGATTTGCTTCAGAGAGGTAGTTACAACTAACTGCATATATCAAAACACATGAAATTATAGTAAGTTGTGCATAAGAAATAAACCACAAGAAGCACACTGCACCAACCAGTCATGATCTTCATTGGTGAGTTCAACTTCACAGTAACATCAGAGCGATAGATATCCACGACATGACAAAGGTATCCCTTATATGGACCTAATCGGATTCTCAATGTTTGTCCTACACAGAAGTTGGTTTCTCCATTCCCTCCACGTTGACCAACTGCAATCAATTATGCACAATTAGATGGGGGAAAGAGACAGCCTAATAAATTACGATCATGGCAGAAACAAATAGAGGTTTATGAACTTAGAGACATACAGTCACGGAAGGATCTCGTCTGTTGATAAGGTCTTTCAGGTGACTCTTTCCTAGGGGATTCTGGCATTGTTGGTGTGGACATAAATTCCTCAAATCCTGGAGGAACAAACCCACCATCCTACAAGTACAATGGAAATTGAGAAGAAAAAATACGGAGTTTAAAGATGAAACAAATGACATGATTTTCTTTATTTACTGTCTTACATTCTCCTTAGCATCAGCATGCAAAATTCTCTCACATGACTCAGGTTTGGCACAGATGTAGCCACCATTTTCTATTTGGTTTTCATCATAGACAAAAACGGTACCTCCATACAAATGCTTCACAACCCCTTGTTTCCCCTACAAAATCCAGAAAGACAGAACATAGTGGAGCACTTAAACATCCATAAGAAAGACAACTTCATCAATCAAATTGAGACAGCAAAATTATGAGAATGTGATAATAAGTAATAGATGTCTTTACCTCAAATGGGCCCTCCAAAAGCCTCACAGTATCTTTGATGGATACAGCATTCTGGTGATGATCGTGAACAGGGATATTCATATAACAAAGTTTGAGCTGTAAATCTTGCGGCTCAACAGTCTTTGTTTCTGCTTGTTCTGCGTTGCCTTTCAAGACCTAAACCATTGATTCATAAGCAACTAACTCAATTAAATGTCAGAAAATTTATCAAAAGTTGTCACCTACCTGGAAGCAGTCACCCTCACCACCTATGATAACACCAATTCCCTCTTCTCTGCAGGCAATAGAAAGCAGGAAACGTGAAAATTGTGAGATAAAAATAGGAAGAGCACAAATTTAAGATAGAAGACAAGTGCAGGCATACAGTATCAGAAGCATACTCGATTGATACAAGATCGTGAACTTTGAAATTTTTCTTCTTAATCTTTAAGGAATCCTTCTTAAACTTTAAAGAATCTTCCTTCTTAAACTTCAAGGAATCTTCCTTCTTAAACTTCGACGAATCTTCCTTCTTAAACTTCAAGGAATCTTCTGATCTCTTAGTGCTTGTTTCACCAACCACCTTGGTACCACCTCGTTTTTGTCTACCATATAATACGGAAAGCCAAACAGAATCCATATCAGCATCTTTTTGGGAATACCTGAACTTCTGGAGCTCATCATCTGATGGCTGCACATTCCAGCTACTTAACGAGTCAACAGATACCCTTTTGTACAAGAAACCATCCTTAAGCATAAGGCCATCAAGAATCTCAAATATCTCTCCAGTCTGACGGTCACGTCTGAGTGTTATATGAGTCCGAAATTTTCTGAAAAATAATATCACTAAATGTCAACTCTATTCCAAAAATAGCTCAATGAAGATGAGCTCATTTATTTATGAAAAAGATAGCAGTTATTTTCTTCTGAAAAAAAAAGGACAAAATATGCTCAACAATCTATAATCAGCAGAAGGGATGGAGAAAGTTACTCAAGTTGTTGAGCACCGATCAAACAAGGTGCAGGCCTAACAGCTTTCTTGACAGTCCCATTCCCTTCCTGGCATTCAAGCTTGTAACAATCACTATACACTATTGACATTACCATGTATATTCTAGTTCAACAGATGACTCAGGAAATACTTTTGAGGCATATGCAATCCTTATTTACAAACGAATAAACTCTGCAATATGATAAAGGCAATGACAATGAATGGATGAAGAAGAAATGATTCACAAACTAAGCATTAAAAGAAAATTTTAGAACTTCAAATCAGCATCCAATTGGTGAAGAAAAAGCAGAGAAGGATATGATATGAACCACATAAGAATAAAGTACAAGGGGTGATCAGATGAACTACACCATTATTCAAGAGACACGGAGGCAGAACAATGCGACCGAAATCGTACAACATACATAAGTGGCCACCAACAGATTCATAAACAGATATACCAATTTGTTTCTCCCACCCCAAGAAAAGGTACTCTGATGTCCAGGATATGGTTATGGCATCTCTTTTGTGTTTTCACACTCATGTTTTGAAAGTATCTGATGTGGATGCGTGCTCAATGTTAAGCATGCTGCATCATTGCTACCAAAAGAGATTGCATGCACCACAGAGAATTATCAGTCATCCCCTAACAGGGGACCAGATGCCTCACAATTTCCTCCGTCGCTAACCGCATAGGTTGTGATCTAAGGCAAGTTACGATACCATTGCTCGACCTAGGTTGCTCCTTGGTACATTAAGTTCTATCCTAGAGAAGAAAAAAAAGCCCAAAAAACCTGGGGAAGAGGCCCTTTTTTTGGCGTTGTAACAATCCATTCATAAAAGTGTCCAGGAATGTAGTTGCATTGGGAAGTGCAAACAGACAAATGGATAAAATTAAGAAAAGAGTACTGTTTCATAACAACAGAAAACAGAGATAGACAGTTTCAGAGAGGCAGCTAGTCAGACAGGCAAACAAAAAGAGAGATACCAAATAGACAGACAGACTGATAAAGGCAATGTATACAATGAGACCATTTACTTTTGATACATGGAGGTCACAATTATCATTGACTGTTAGATTTGAAATCAGGTGATTGAAGATGTGTCATTGTTTGGGCACAAAGTCCGAAATAAAATTTCTAGAATGTTGTGACACACTTTCACTTATTGGATATTATATCCAATGACAAAAAGTGATTGTGACTTCCTTGTACCAAAAATAAATGGTCTCATAGTATACAATCCCTAAATATAAAGTAACTTACAAATATAATGATTTATACAAGTCTTTTTACAACTTCGAAATCAAGAAATGAGATTAAGTAGTCAACCACAATTTTGTGACATGGGCAAGTCAGATAAGTTAGAAAAAAGACCTGGCTTAATCTGATTTTGAATTGTTCCTAAATCACAAGGATTTTGGAATTTACTTTCTTGCTTAGCCAAGTTGGCTTGGCTAATTAACAAGCTATGGGTTTCAGTCTTGAAAAAATATACCCATGCATAGATCTGATGAATGATGTGGAAAACCTTAAATCACAAACATGCTTTCTTTTTTCATTCTTCTTATTTTTTTCCATGTTTTACTTGTTCTTTCTTCTTTTCTTTTTTGGAGGTGTTAACGTTGGGAATAGAGCCTAGGATGTTATGTTTAATCAACTAACATGTTGAGAACTCAAAAATCTTCCACAAACATGGAGAAAGAGCCATAATTCACAAACTACGAATTTGTATATACCTTTAAACCTGATGGCTGTAATAATCAAGATATCTAGGTAAAAGAGAACTCAGACTTTCTGCCACAATGTAGAAATTTGCTTTTCTTAATAACTAAATTTGCTTTGCGTCCTTGATTTGCAACTATGCAACTGCAAAAATATGCAACTCATAGCCCAAAATACACAATTTTCAAAGCAACCTTTGGCCCAAGTGAATGAATTAGTCACCCTTTACAATTTAACACGACAAACAAATCCACAAGATAAAAACAAAAAAAAAACAAAATTCCCAGTAACTCATAAAAGATCTGCAAGATCAATGAATACACAATGTTCTGCAGGAAGCACCAACCCCCACACACCCCCCTCCTCCTCTCTCCCAAAAATGAAAAAAAAGAGAGTAACTCATGGAATAAAACCTTGATATATCGCTAAGTAACCTTTCTTTAGTACCCTCTGCTTTCCTCCTAGGATGATAAAATAACTAACTATTCAAAACAAACTTCTGAATCTTGATATGGTATACATGTTCACTGACACTGACCCCACAGAGGCACCCTATATACATCAGAAAGCTTGAAGCATTTACAATTACAACAAACAAAGCCAATGGTAAAGACAGAAGAAGAAAAAAAAATTGCATTCACTGGGAGAATGAAGCTCAGTAAACAACAAAAGCCTTTCTGAAAATATTGTGTTTAATGTTTGTAATACTTCAATTTATTAGTTTTATGCGCATTCTTATATGCCAAAAGATTCCATGCTCCCGTGGGAGCAACTGTCCATTTACTCCTTGGGTAAAACTCAATCAGGACCCTGAAATTCGGTGAAGCCCCCTCCGCTTTGAGTCCTTGATTTGCAACTATGCAACTGCAAAAATATGCAACTCATAGCCCAAAATACACAATTTTGAAAGCAACCTTAGGCCCAAATGAATGAATTAGTCACCATTTACGATTTAACACGACAAACAAATCCACAAGATAAACACAAAAAAACAAAATTCCCAGTAACTCATAAAGGATCTGCAAGATCAATGAATACACAACGTTCTGCAGGAAGCACCAACCCCCACACACCACCCCCCCCCCCCCCCTCCTCCTACCTAA